AAATATATATATATATATATATATATATATATATATATATATATATATATATATAATTCTATATTGAATATGTAGTGAATTAATGTTTAGATATTTTTAATGGAAAATCAGACAAAATCGTTATTCATTTATTTATTTCACTGTATATCAATCTCAGTTATAATTTGAGCTAAATTGTTTGTAGCAGTTGCGTTGTATTGTATATTGCTTTTACACTGTTTGTTAATGTGTGTTTGTAATGTCTATGTCTTCCAGAGACCCTGCAGACTCAGATTGACAATCTTGAGAAAACTCGTCTGAAGCAGCTTCATATTGTGGAGACTCGTATGGCTACATCAGAGGAAATCAATGCTCAGGCTCTGTCCACTAAAACTGTAAGTCCTTTAGAGCCACATCTGAACCTCGCAGTTTTGCCTTGTTTGTTCACCTGCTCTCACCTTTTATATTATTCTGCCTAAAATTCAGCTACACTGTAAAAAAAAAGTAATTTACTGTAACTCTGGCCAGAAAACATGTACGAGTGATACCATTATGGGGGGCAATTTGTTGTTTGTGGTATGGAAATATAATTTGATGTGAACAATAATCTTGTGTTTTGTTTTCATGTGGCTCTGCAGACTAAAAAGCGCAAGAAAGTTACACATGCAAATGCCCCTGATGAAGAAGTCCAGCGCCACACAGGGGACAGGAAGAGTAGGAACTGAACAAAAGCCCTCACATTCGAGCATTCAGCATTCATACTCATTCTTAATGATGAGTCCCAGTTTAATTCATTCAAATTACAGACATGTTCATCAGAAATGCTGTATTATTTTTTAAAACTATTTATCTTTTTACTTGGTGATTCAAGTTGCTACATTGATTTTATAACAAATAAAACTCAGGGACTATATCTTCCAGAAGAATGGAAAACACATAGGAAGGAATTTAATAAAGCAATGTTTCAATGCAAATGTATGTCCTCTATCCATCTATCCATCTATCTATCTATCTATCTATCCATCTATCCATCTATCCATCTATACATCTATCTATCTATCTATCTATCTATCTATCTGTCTGCCTGTCGGTCTGTCCATCTGTCCGTCCGTCCGTCCGTCCGTCCGTCTGTTCTTATTTCTGTGTTTCTAAAAAAAATGTGGGAATTTTCCACTGGTCCCTTGAAATTAAGCAACAGATGAGGTCATCGTCTTGCCTGTGATTGGCTAGTATGAATACCTGTTTGTTACCAAGCTTTTCCCAGCTGGGAAATATATATATATATATATATATATATATATATATATATATATATATATATATAATTCTATATTGAATATGTAGTGAATTAATGTTTAGATATTTTTAATGGAAAATCAGACAAAATCGTTATTCATTTATTTATTTCACTGTATATCAATCTCAGTTATAATTTGAGCTAAATTGTTTGTAGCAGTTGCGTTGTATTGTATATTGCTTTTACACTGTTTGTTAATGTGTGTTTGTAATGTCTATGTCTTCCAGAGACCCTGCAGACTCAGATTGACAATCTTGAGAAAACTCGTCTGAAGCAGCTTCATATTGTGGAGACTCGTATGGCTACATCAGAGGAAATCAATGCTCAGGCTCTGTCCACTAAAACTGTAAGTCCTTTAGAGCCACATCTGAACCTCGCAGTTTTGCCTTGTTTGTTCACCTGCTCTCACCTTTTATATTATTCTGCCTAAAATTCAGCTACACTGTAAAAAAAAAGTAATTTACTGTAACTCTGGCCAGAAAACATGTACGAGTGATACCATTATGGGGGGCAATTTGTTGTTTGTGGTATGGAAATATAATTTGATGTGAACAATAATCTTGTGTTTTGTTTTCATGTGGCTCTGCAGACTAAAAAGCGCAAGAAAGTTACACATGCAAATGCCCCTGATGAAGAAGTCCAGCGCCACACAGGGGACAGGAAGAGTAGGAACTGAACAAAAGCCCTCACATTCGAGCGTTCAGCATTCATACTCATGCTTAATGATGAGTCCCAGTTTAATTCATTCAAATTACAGACATGTTCATCAGAAATGCTGTATTATTTTTTAAAACTATTTATCTTTTTACTTGGTGATTCAAGTTGCTACATTGATTTTATAACAAATAAAACTCAGGGACTATATCTTCCAGAAGAATGGAAAACACATAGGAAGGAATTTAATAAAGCAATGTTTCAATGCAAATGTATGTCCTCTATCCATCTATCCATCTATCTATCTATCTATCTATCCATCTATCCATCTATCCATCTATACATCTATCTATCTATCTATCTATCTATCTATCTGTCTGCCTGTCTGTCTGTCCATCTGTCCGTCCGTCCGTCCGTCCGTCCGTCTGTTCTTATTTCTGTGTTTCTAAAAAAAATGTGGGAATTTTCCACTGGTCCCTTGAAATTAAGCAACAGATGAGGTCATCGTCTTGCCTGTGATTGGCTAGTATGAATACCTGTTTGTTACCAAGCTTTTCCCAGCTGGGTGCAAATTGAGAGAGAATCTAAGGAGGAATATTTATAGATTGGTGTGTGTGTACTGTAGTTACTGAACACACTTTTATGCTTGGATCTATATTTGGTAAGCAATCAACCTGTCAATACGGAGTGGGTGTAAACTGTATTTTTGCAATAAGTTTTATGTCAGAGGCATGATGATATCTTGAAATATAATTCAAGATCAGTATCTTGTTTGTCTCTCTCATCCATGCAGCTGCAGACTTTCAGCAAAACGTACGTAGGCCTTGCAGGTGCAGGAACTTTATGATGTGTTACTCAGCACATAGATTTTTCCTTTTCAGCGTTTCACCAGAGCACAATGTGGGCGGAATGCAGCCATTAGACAGGAACGAGTGGGTGAAATGCCAGTTAGCGGTTTTACCATCTATGGCCATTATAATCTTTCGTGACATCCTATGTTGTACAGCACACTCCTATCTGCTTTTTCCCTTTAAAACCTTGGTTGTGAAATTTGAAAATGTCAGTTATTGTGGAAGTTGTATAGAAAGGATAGTCATACTATATGATGAGATTGAGTGTGATTGACAGGACTGAACTGAAACTGTCTACTGGCCTATATTACAAACCGAAGGTCGCAGCTGTCAGCTTGCCTGTGGTCAGTGTATAACGCCTCACTTCCTCCTCTGTGAACTATATCTCTGTAGATATTTTTATATGGCTTCTTTTGTATATTTAATTTCTAATTTCTCATTCTCGTTATTAGATATCAGTCAACATTCTCAGAAGTTATTGTGTGCATATATGTATACAGTATGTGTTTTTAAAGAGATTTATTTGAGGGTGCTGGTATAAAATGGAAATGTCATGATGAAATTTCCAAGTTGTATTCATTTTCTTATTGTATTTTAAATAAGCTCTATTGAATACCAGAAAAGTTAAATATACAGTAATGTCAGACAATAAACTATTACGTTTTTTTTACAAATGCTAAAAAGAGCAATAATGTATAAGTGCTACTATTCAAAATAAAGTTGTATAAATTGCCCCCTTGTGGCTGTACTTTAAAGAAACTGCAGTAGTAGTGAAAATAAAAGCATATCCTAATTTATTAAAATGTAGCTACATTTTTAGATTTGCATATGTTGATGATATTGTTCTGATTTTTATTTTATTTATTTATTTTTTCTTTCATTAGAAAAAATATATATTTTTGTTTATTGATTGTTGTATAGTAGTGACATATTCCTTATTTTTAATGTTTCATAATTGTAGTTTCAGATCATATTTCAACCCAAAATAAAAACTTTTTTAGGATTTTTTGCATTTGATTTTTATGATAATTAACCACATTAACCCCTCCCCCAGCACCTTCTCCAATTCTCAGTAATCTACTGCAAAGCAATATATAAATCTTACTCCTCACTGTAATCATTAAAAAAAAGCTATATATTTAATAATATGAACAAATGTACTTTAATTAATTGTAAATTTTTTAAATAATACTGGTTTATACGTCGCTTCTTTATGCATCAATTTGTGCTATTGTGAGTTTCTGCATGTATCCAAAGCCTTTTCAAAAGTCTGTTATTCACTGTTAACACAGGAACACAAGTCCCTTCTGCTTGTGGGACAGAGGGTCTTATTTTTTAAGCTTTCACTGCACTCCGGGTCACCCTCAGTACTTCTGATGCAGTAACTGGCACTTTTGAGGGATCCAGAAGAGCGAGGCAGCTGAATCGACTGCTTGTTCTGCCTCAGATTAGAGTAAAAGACACTTGTAGTTGTTTACAGTGCACCCTCTATTTAGGAAAATATACTTTGATTAACAAAACAAAATGTGATTTTTGCTTTAACACACAGAGCAAAGAAATAAAGTATTTGATATAACACAAATGTTTTTAATGCCCTTCAGATGTGGTCCTACATTTTTGAAAGAAATTTCGTAAATTATGTTTTAGCTTTAAAAAGACATTAATGTATTGATATTCATACTTTCTTGTATGTTGTACCAGATATGCATCCAGCTTGTTGTTAAAATAGACATTTACAAAACATTTTCTTTACTGCATGACTACTTTCATGCAGAGTTACAGTAGATGTTGATGTTGGCAGATATAATATGATGAATATGGTAATTCTAATCAGAGTGTCTTTGCCCTTGAAACTAGAGGAATAATTGGCCCCTAATTACCATATAGATGCATTCGTGGCATGTCAGCAAACACTCTCAAATACAAAAGCAGTAACCTGACATCATATTCTGTCCCATTTGTTACATTTTGCACAGATAATCAAACAGTGATGAGAATCTAATACAATATTTGTTGTTCCACCCTCCTAAAATCATTCTTTTGCCAGATTGTCTGATGCTCTTTTTACAAACATTAATACAAAAAACAATAATGAGATGACATTTTTAGCGTCCAGGATGCACTTTCACTCTAAGATCTAATCTGCAGGAGTCACATGTATCTACATCCAATGCAAATGCAGTTTAGCAGCACAGAATTGACTGTATTCCAAATACGAAGAACTTTTCCAAAACAAGAGCCCCATTCATTTGTAGTTTGAGAGATGACGGAATGAGTCCAGATAATGAAGGCCCGAAGGCTTTTGTTAAGTTCACTCTGACTTGAGGGGAACAGAACTGGAAGACATCACATGTTGAATAAGCACATTTGTCATACTCTAGTTAAGGAGACGCTCTGTAATAAAGCATATGAAAAAGCTGACTCGCCTTCTCTTAAACAGCCTCCATTATTATGTTATATGGTAGTGTTTGCTCTAAATAATCTCAATTAAATATGAGTAAATTAAAATGTCATATCATCCTCTTTATCCTATTTATTACTGATACTCACAATTCATAATATTCTTCAGAACACATTACCTTTTTTTTTTTTTTTTTACACAATGGAAATACCATTGTTTTTTTCCTGTAAGGCTAAAGGCATATGAAATGTAGTTTATATGTTCCCTGACCTAGACCGTCCTTACAGAGCACCTTGTGAATAATAGAGGAGTACTAGTGCATATGACATAAAAGCTGATCGATATGAAACTCCAAATCTGGTTTTATTCAAAATATTACATATTCAGTATTAGCCAATAAAATCTTTGATGCTGTAAATTAATAGTCTGAGGAAGAATACAAAAAATCTAGCTGTTTACTTTTGAATGATATGGGGATTTATACTAACTGAATGACTAAATCTGAGTTTAAAGCAGTGTTTTTAAAGTCCCAGTATATTTATGGAGGGCTGTTTTCAGGGAGGGAACAACCGGGAACATTGTCCTGGATTCTGTGACTAAGGTCCTGTATGATAAAGCCAACTCAATTGGCACAGGGGACAGAGTTACACCCATAAAAGTTTGTCCCGGGCCCCTTGATTTTAAGCAATGTGCAATGTGTATTCACAAGCTCCCAGAATTGTCTCTTTGTGCATTATTGTGCAATTTTCCAAATGCCTGATTACTCAAGCATATTTCAGTTATGGTAAAAAAAAAATAAAAATAAAAAAATAAATAGCAGGCCTATGTAACTGTGAGAGTCTCAACTGGAGGAAAATGGGAGAATAAAAAATTATACCCTGCCTGCATCCCAATTTCCATAATATTAACCCTAAATAGTATTAGTATTATTACTAATCTCGAATACTAGTATGCATATTGAAACACAGGGATAGTGGATTATTTTTCTCCCAATTACTAAAATAAAACTCTTCAAGGTTCTTCTAATTAGTGCTTAGATTATGACAGTGCAGGATATAGAGCTTCAAATGAGTTAATTTAAACAGCAGTAAGATTTAAATGTTTGTTGTTTTTTCTATCACATTTTTAGACATCTTTGGTCGAGTAAAATAACGGCCAAATAATTCATTCAAAATAAGCTATAAGTTATCCTCACAGACAGTGAGGTAATGTAATCAGTTGTCATAAACAAACGTATACTGGCTCTACGCCTTTCTTTTCTTTATTCAGAATTGACCTTGACAAATATTTGGAAACTATACAAAGTTCTACTAATCCAAAAGCAATGAAAACTGTATCTTTATATTCTTCCTTTGTGTCTTTTTAAGATGTAATTTTATTATGCTGTTGTTGTTTTGTGTTACACTGGCAATATGTCTGTCTCTGTGTATATTCTTGTATTATTTTTTTTGCTTTTGCTTTTGCTTTGTCTCTATGTTTACAATTGTAATTGTTATTTTACTTTATATTAATAAAAAACTGTAATCAGTTGTCAGGCTGCGTTGCGTCATGAAAGTAGGCGGGCTTAACGTGTTTAACAGACAGGTACTTTTCCACCACATGTCAACGCTCATTGGCTCGGACGTCACAATAAAATGCAGTACTAAAATTTGATTGGCCTGCGCTCCACTCTTAGACCCGCCTCCCTAGCACTCTGATTGGACGCCATCACTGTGGAAGTGTCAGTCAATAGTTTTTTCGCCCAGTGGCACTGCAGCACTATGTCCGGACATGTAGATCTCATAGCGGCTTGGCCTTTGTTAGCGAGTCGCTGAGAAGAACCAAGAAAGCCGAGGAGCCGCATTCATGCACATACAGGGAGGAAAATGATCATCTGCACGAAAAACATGGACTATCTCCTTGGAACCCAGTGCCAGTTCGTTCAAAATCAGGTAACATAAATGCCTGAAGTGAAGATAATAACTGTAAACCGTAGCTGTACGTTATCTAGACTCTTGCTGGGAAGTTTCAAAGTTGACAGTTCATCTACTTAGCAAAACCGTCGTCTCTTTAATGTCGTTCATTCATTCGTGTTTAAAACGCTCCTCAAACATATACATGTGTCATTATTTTTGATTATATATTCAAAAGTCCCTCTTTGAAAGAAAAGACTAGTCGCCATAAGTAATATCCGTTATTTTCTAGCATAACGTTACACGAATGTCGTTCAAATATATTTGTAGAATCAGTCCGCTTTTGTATTGTTACTCTGATCGCCACTTTTCAACCAATGACTATATTTGCTTCGAGTTTTAAACGCCAATTCATTGTGTTAAGTATTTATTGTTCCTGAAATTAACTTAATTTTTGACAAGGCAAGTGTTTTCAACATGTAAAGCTGCAGTCTTGCAGTTTAATTCTCTTGGATTTAACGTTTGTGCTGCAATTCATCTGTAATCTAAGGCAGTTTTGAACTCGCATAACAATAGTGATCCTATGACATATTTTGTCTTTTTGTTTTATATTTTATGGAATGAAAAGCTGTGCAAATCCATTGCATTCATGACAAAGAGTAATAAGCTTCTTTGTCGTGCATATGCTTAGTTCATACTTCAGTTTGGTTTAGATCATAGTCATTGTTTCGTTGCAACTATTATGTTGACTACTCATAAAGGTATGTATTTGTTGAATATTCCAAGTATTAACAGCAAAACATTTAAGCTCCACGAGGAATTAAGACTGCAGTCTGGAACAATCTTTGAAAGCCTTTGGTGCAGATTAAGCCGTGGTTATGGGTTTACCTATAATCTAAACCTAACGTTACATGAAACTATGCTTTTCTATTGATGTTGGCATGTTGAAGTTTTGTAGGTTTGACACTCTCCGTCACGTCTGAGCTCTTTGTTGAGTTGTTTGTAAGAAGAATCTCCTGTTTTATACACAAAGACAACTGGTCGAGTATTTTTGGGTCGTATCGACATAGGAGCATTCTTTTATCGAACATTCAACTCATCATTTTTTCCTTCATTTTGTATTTATTTTCATGTTTAAGTATATTCTTTAACCAAATGATTGCGTATAAGCTTTTGTGGAAATGAAAATCTGTCATTTGTCTGCGGCGCTGTTGTGGTGTAATTTTTCGCAGCTCACGTCGGGCAAACACAAAGCCCTTTGTAGTTACAACCGTAAACCGTGACACGACAATCTGCACGGGAAGATTTGTTTATTGACATTTCTTCACGCTTGACTTTTTGGTCTTGTTGTGTGAGTGTTTTCTCTTTCTCCCGTTTGTGTGATGTGATGCTGATGTACTGCCAATCAAAGTTGTTTTTCTCCCCATTCGCCTGCAGTACCTCCTGCAACCTGAGGTGATGGCGCTGCTGCGCATATAGGAGAACAATAGAGGAATGTGCCATTTAAACATTTCTCAGAAATATGCTCTCATTTGCCAGCCCATAAGAAAATACCCTAGGCTTGTACTTGGATTGTTAACATTCTAAACTAGTTTTATTTCCCCCCCTCAATTAACCACTGGTCCATTTGTAAAATATACTTTTTTTTTTAAATGTCTGTAGGTGATAAGTATTATAATGGCACAATACGTGTTTCAAAGCTCCCTCATGTGTTTCACATAGAGAGCATTTTTAATATCCTGACTCCTGACTATGCTGCTTTTGTAACCTTGTCAGAACAGTACGGTAAAGTTTAAACATGTATTGCAATCCATTATTATTATGCAGCTTATATATAGATATACGTTCGAGGCATAGCTGACCATGATTCACTTCTGAATATGAAGACCACAAAAGCACAAAGATGGCAAAATAACAGACAACTGATTTCACCAGCAAACCAAATCTTGGACTTCCCAAGCGGAAATGTGATTCATCAATAATCTGCCTTCACTTCACTATCTGTCATATGCAAGCTGCTGAATGTATGTCACACTGTCTGCTTATGTTAATGTCAGTCTTCCTGGTTGTCTGAGTGCATCCATATGTGGCTTGCCTCTTAATTTGTGTTCCGAAGATGAACAAAGGTCTTATGGGTTTGGAACGAGAAACGTGAGAAATTAATGACAGAATTTTCATTTTTGGGTGAACAATCACTTTAAGTCAGTCAGTCAATCTCTGTAGGTTTGGATTGACTTTTGCTTTAGCTATCAGGTGTGTGTCTGTGTGTGTGTGTGTGTGTGTGTGTGTATTTGTATGTATGTGTGTGTGTTTGCTGCAGGCCTTGTTCCCAGTGAGGTGCAGCTGGCTGTTTTGTTCTTCCTGGCTTGCAGGTTAGCAAGCCAAATTAGTGTTTCCTTTGTAGAGAGGGAGAGAGATGGGGTTTGTGCAATAGCAGTTGGGGCATTTGCGCATGTCAAGGACTGAGCCCTCCAGGCCTTCTGAGAATGCAGATTGAATATCACATCTTGCTTTTATTCTGGACTCAGGCCCTGACCCGAAGCCCCCCATCAGTTTAGAGCCTCATGTTTAGACTGTCCTCAAATGACAAAAGATGAGCAGTAGGCTTATGTTTGTCTGTTTTATTTAAGTGGTGATATGTCGCATAATTAAAGGGACCGCTCACCCATAAATAAAAATTCTGGCGTCACTTGCTTAAGTAGTTTCAAACCTGTATGACTTAATTTCTTCTGCAGAACACAAAAGATGATATTTTAAAGAATGTTGGTTACCAGACAGTTTTGGTGATCGTTGACTTTCTTTGCATGAAGAACAGTTTTTGAACGACATGAGAGTGAGCAACTGATCACAGAATTACATTTTTGGGTGAACTATCCCTTTAAGGCCCTTTTAGATTCTTTTTTTTTTTTTGTATTTGACCTGCAAGAATAAACACATTAACTTATTCAAATCTAAACGCAAGAGTACATGCAAATATATTCAAAACTAAATGCTGTTTTGTTTGTTCATGGAGTGATCTTGCACTTTTTTTGTATCTCTAATATATCACACAGATGCTGCTTTGTGTAGCACTTTAACTTGTTTTAATCAAACAAATAACTGAATTATTATGTAAAGGACGTGTATGCTGTCATTGTTCACGGAAACAGGAATTATGATTGCCGAAAGTGGCACCTTTACCCAATAAACAAGATTTCGGCTGAATTTGAGGGACTCGCCAAGAGGATGTGAGACTGACTTCCTGTTTCGTGTTGACTGTTGGTAAAGACATGTCGGTGCATGTTGCTGGTGCTGATGAGGCATACTCTATTGACAAAAAAAAAAATCGCCCCAAGTTTCAAAATAATCTTACGCTGTTGACCATGAACTGTGCTGGTGTTATGTATGAACTTTATACCCTAATTGACAAGTTTAACCAACATCTTTTGTTGATCGCAGCTTGATATATATATACACAAAAACCTCGGTTGACAGCATCTGCTGCAGCGTTTCATTGAGCCGTGGGTGTGTGAGCATCTCTCAGCTTCTCATATGACTTGCATTAGTCTCTAATTTCCCTCTGAAGTTTCATTAGTAGTTAATTGCAAGTTGTTTTGTCTCGTTCCAGGGATACAGACTCCCCCTTGCGATTTTCTGCGGCTGCCGATACGGGCTATGAAATGAACACTCTGTATTGAACCACGATAGCATGTTGAAAATATCTGTATTTGCAGTTGCCTGTTTTTCTGGGTCACTGCTGAGGAGTTTTGGGCATTGCGACCAGGCTCGGAGACATGTGATCTGTTTACCAGGGAAAGTGCACTTGTACTTGCGTCCCAATGGAGAATAGTGTTTGAACTGTTGTTTGAGGCTGACCTCAACATCTTAGTCTTGTTTAAATTACTTGTCCCTATGTGGCTTGTGCTTTATTGCCAATATGGCTCTTGGTTGACCGTATTTTCACTTCTGTATTCTTAGAGCTTTTCCCAGCGCAAAATGCTTATGGTATCTAAACAATAGGTACATCCCACTTCACGTACTCGTGCACTATTCTATGCCAGTTTATAGTATAAATACTTGCTAGTAAATTTTACAAACAATTTTAAACATGAAATTTTAAAGTAGAAAGACTGAAATCGTATTTTCTTGTAAAATGTATCCTGGTAATTTTGTTTTAATTGAAAAAGCATTTTTTTACAGTAGTATGTTGAGCTTTTCCCAGCGCAAAATGCTTATGGTATCTAAACAATAGGTACATCCCACTTCACGTACTCGTGCACTATTCTATGCCAGTTTATAGTATAAATACTTGCTAGTAAATTTTACAAACAATTTTAAACATGAAATTTTAAAGTAGAAAGACTGAAATCATATTTTCTTGTAAAATGTATCCTGGTAATTTTGTTTTAATTGAAAAAGCATTTTTTACAGTAGTATGTTAACACTGGAAATTCCAGAAAGAAAAAGTTTCACTTCATATGCCAAGATGATGCACTTAATTAACCAAAAGAAATGAAGAGTGGAATGTTGAACATTTCATGCACTCAACTGTTGCAGCCTTTCTTTATGTAATATAGGGGAAATGGTCTATTAGATAGATTCCAGTGTTGGATGACAAAATAACTTTATAAAGTTCATATATTAGTAGAGTGCGTAGTATGGTGTGTCATTTGGGACACAACAAATGTATGGAAGTTATGCAGAAGTAGATCTGGATAGGCACTTGATCTGGAGTATAAATGCCTGACTTTCTAGGTAACTGTAATGTTAGTCCATGATGCTTTGTATGATATGTTTTGCTTGCACATGTTTCACAAGCCTCGACTGAATTGAATGACAAGACACCTGTATCTCGGGCAGAAACATATCGCAGCTTTCAGTGCCACCTTGAAACTGATCTTTTTCCTTGATAGAAGAGAGTGTCTTTGTTCCTGTTTCATCAAGTTGCCTCTTAAAATTAGTCATCAAACAGATGTAGTGTCTTTTTTTTTAAATCACTTTATATTAAATGGTAAGTTTCAGGCATTCAAATACCTCAGTAAACAGGTTAGGCTGACACATTTTCCAATAGAGGGCAAACCACTGTCTGCACCTCAGTGCAAAACTACTTTTCATCGGAATTGCATGTTAAATTGGGTTAAGAAGCAAATATTGACAGATGGTTTAGTGTTTAAGTTCATTCCCTTTCATGAACATTTACTTGAGGAACCTGTCTGGAGAGATATTGATGATGTCCCGCAAGTAAAACCCTTTTTTCTTTATTTCATAGTGTCCCTTGTGCAGGAACGGCGTTTCTTTCTTATCTATGCATGTGCTATCTCAGCTGTCCTCTAGGACTATTTATAACCCTCTCTTTTCTGTCAGACACTGTATGAAGAGCCAGGACCAGACAAGCAGTCCGTAGGCCTGGGTGTAATTTATTACCCACATATTTTCCCCAACAAGATTCAGCACTGTAGAACGTGAACAGATTTTCAGTTGGCTAATTGCTATCAGTTCTTTAATGTGATTTTTAGTGGTATTTGGAGACCCAAAATGTATAGTGACTCAAAGGGATTGTAGGCGCAGTACGTACCGTGCTGTCAGAGTGAATCTTCAGTACTGTCAGGAAGAGTTATGATGGCCCAGAGCTGTTTTGGCCACGGCTCTCAGTTGTCCCCCGTAACTGTGTAACAAGATTTCAGTCAATACGTGACCACGTTCATGTTTGCGTTCAGTCAGAGCTCATCCTCTTCTCTCCCCCCACCCCAGAAAGTGTAACTGACCCGTTCATCGCCATGACTAACTCCAGCCAGACCCACAGAGCAGCGGTTTACTCGAAGGAAATACGGAGGCCACCCTCTCACAGTCGAACTCTACAACTGATCTCATATCACATACTAGAAATGAGAGCCAAGACTAGGGGTAGACGATAAATCTATATTCATTTGGAAACAATCCACAATATCGATAATAATCTTGAGCAAATGAATATTTAGCCTACTAGACGATCTAGATCAGGGATCCTCAAATCTGGCCCACGAGATCCACTTTCCTGCAGAGTTTAGCTCTAACCCTAATCAAACACACCTGAGCATGCTAATCAGTGTCTTCAGGATCATTAGAAATTCACAGGTAGCTGAGTTTGATCAGGGTTGGAGCTAAACTCTGCAGCGCATTGGACCTCCAGGGCAAGATTTGAGGAACCCTGATCTAGATGATCAGGTCAGTCACTTAAAAGTCTGCATGTTCATTTTGAATGTTTTGTCATGATGTTTTCAGCGTCTGTCGTCTCATTATATGAGGACAGTTCAGATGAACTTCATCTGCAGAGCTGCATGAGAGTCACTTCACCAGCATTTCGCCATTTCACTTGAGAAAAGCTATCAAATGCAAACTGAAACTCAAAGGTCTTCATGACAAACTGACAAAATAAAAGTTTGGTTTAACCTAAAGAAATTCACTGTTATATTACTATTATATAATAAAATGTACTTATTAAAGTAATAATAATCATGTATAATAATGATAGAAAATAATTGGACACAATTTTGGGAAAAAATAAAACTGATTTTGTGGGACTCTAAAATTAAAAAGTAGCGTGGACGTAGACATTTGCTTGTAAACCAACAAATTATGTTTATATTCATTCTCAAGGCCTTAAACATGTGGAAAGCATTTTCTTCCCCATTAATAGAATGAGATAAATATTGATATCGAATGATGTGGGAAAAAATACTGTGGTAATATTTTGCCCATATTGCCCTAGAGCTATTGTAGTTCCATTGCTGTTAGTTAATCAAAAATCTACCACTATTGTGTCAAAATGTGTCGCTGACCTTTTAAAATGGCCTTCAAATTGCATTGAACTTCAATAATGTGACGCATTTCTGTGTGGAATTGTGAAATTGTATTGTTTTCCCCCCAAGCCACTTAGCCTATGTTACATCAACAGAAAAATGAAGTAATTTCAAAGTAGAGATTGTAACCACAGTTTGGTGCACATTTATAAAACATTTTCTTTAGAATCTTATGCACTTAGGGCTAGACGATATGGCCAAAATTTATATCACGATATATTTTTTAATTTCGGTCGATACGATATCATTCCGATATCGATATGAACACTATTTATCTGAAATAAAAATCTTTTATAACATTATAAATGCCTTTATCATCACTTTTGATCAATTTTAAGCATCCTTGCTAAATAAAATGATTAATTTCTTTCCCAAAAAATTTATAAAAATTATACTGAATGGAATAGTGTATAATGTTACAAAAGCTTTTTATTTCAGATAAATGCTGATCTTTGGATCTTTCTATTCATCAAAGAATCCTGAAAAAAAATGTACTCAACTGTTTTAAATATTGATAATCAGCAAATCAGCATATTAGAATGATTTCTGAAGATCATGTGACACTGAAGACTGGAGTAATGATGCTGAAAATTTAGCTATGCATGATCACAGGAATAAATTACATTTTAAAATCTATTCAAAATAGAAAGCAATTTTAAATAGTAAAAATATTTCAAAATTGTACTGTTTTTGCTGTACTTTGGATCAAATAAATGCAGCCTTGTTGAGCAGAAGAGAATTCTTAAAAAAAATAAATAAATACAACAACATTAAAAATCTTACTGTTCAAACACTTTTGACTGCTAGAGCAGGCTGATTATTCTTATAGATTGAAACAAATGTGCTCCAGCCAGAAAAAGTGCAAAAGTGAAAAGTGAGTCGCTGCAGAAAACAAAAAAATCGAACAATAACAAAAACTGGAAATGTTGCTGGAGACCAAGGTTATTATAGTTTAGCATTTTTAAATTAGTTTTATTTTAATATCATTTTCAAATTTGCAATAAAATTTAGTTTCGTTTTTATTAGTTTCATTAATAATTTTGTTAGTTTTAGTTTAGTTTTTATTTTGTGAACACATTTCTATTTAGTTTTTATATAGTTTAGTTTCAGTTTTAGTTTTAGTAATTAAAGTTTATTAGATTTAACAGATCACTTCCAGAGCGCAGGCCAAAGAAAGACTTTTTGTGAGATAGCTAGTTATAATGGTAATTAAATAATGTTTACATATGTATAAAAGCCTACATTAAAATCTGTCATATAAATTGGTCTCTTCATTAGAAATTAGCCTACTGATGATCACCATTGATGGACAATTTTTTTAAATAATATTAAAAATATCTGTATGACATTATATTCTGCAGTTCTTCCCTGTTGTACCGAATATCTATACTTTTCAAATTATCATATCGAAGTTAGAAATTCAAATATTGTGACAAAATTAATTTTGTAGGGTGCCACAAGTTTGTTAAAATTTCCAAAGGGTGCCGCGACTAAAAAAAAAGGTTGGGAAACACTGCTCTAGTACAATAAAACCCGTTTTCACCAGCTCTGCTTCTGTTTGCTTCAGTTGCTCTCTCACTACTCTCCAATCTCCTGTTTCTTCCTCTGCTCTCTCTCTCTCTCTGTGAGGCGCTTGAACAGGAGGGGAGTGGGCAGGATTTCCATAATCCCACAGTCAGACACAAAGCAGGCCAAAGGCACAGGCACAAGGCCTCGGTTGGCCTTCACAGTCAGCATTTAAAAACATGAAGACATGAATCAGCAGATCTCCTCAACACCAGTCAAACAAGGACATCGGGACAATGTATTTGCCATTTTCACATCGATTTCCTTTCCACAAATTGTCCAAAATAGTCTCCTATGCTAAATACGGACGATTGAACCACAACTCCCAAGTTGTGCCTGTGATTATACATGGGTATGGTGTCCAGTGCCATTTTTATAATCTGGATGTATTTTAAGCATCTTGGGGTGTGAAAGTAGGAGATTGAGGTCGCCAGACATCTGTCTGGTCTGAAACAGCAGTGGGTCGCTGTTAGTGTGGAATGTCTATTACTGTCCCTCGATACCCGCAGGACCCGTGGCAGATGCCGTGTTTGCTTGCTAGTATTCTTTTACTTCTTTATATTTTTGTTGGGAACTATTTGAGGAATGCTGCAAACACTAGTGAAAGTTATTTGAAGGTGGTTCCTTTAAGATTAACCTAAAAAAACACACTGAATAGGTGTTTTTCATTCGCAAAGTGCTTTTTTATCTGCCTTTTGTTTGTCAGTTTCTCATTGCTGTGTTTTATTCCTTTTGGCAGGTGATGGTGAACTCTGAGAAAGACCGTGCTTCTCTCTTGTGTATGAAGGCTCTGGCCAACAGGGGGCGTCTGGACTCGGTGTCTCAGCAGATGGCCTCTCACCCACAGTACCTGGAGAGTTTCCTGCGCACACAGCACTACATCCTCTATATGGATGGCCCATTGCCCCTGCACTACCGCCACTACATTGCCATCATGGTATGAACATGCTCTACAGTCAATCACAGTCTCAAATAATATCTCAGGTTAACTGATAACTGTATTTGTGTTTCAGGCTGCAGCACGGCATCACTGTAGGTACCTGGTGTCTCTGCACTCGGCTCAGTTTCTGCGGGTTGGCGGAGACCCGTTATGGCTTCAGGGGTTAGAGGCTGCGCCCCTGCGTCTACGGCACCTTGATCACATCAACAAGGTCCTGGCCCATCAGCCTTGGCTCACGGCACGCTCGCACATACAGGCTCTGCTCAAGACGGGGGAGCAGTGCTGGTCACTGGCTGAGCTCGTCCAGGCTGTGGTTCTGCTGGCCCACTGTCACTCCCTCTGCAGTTTCGTTTTCGGTTCTGGTTCTGACTCGGACACCACTTCCACTCCCAGAGTGCATCACGGCACGCCCCCTGGCTACTGTCTCTGTGACGCTGCCAACGGCAACACTGCTGGACCCACAGAGAAGGCGCCACGGCGAAGGGTACGGATGATCATTCATTTCAGTTGGTAAACGAGGTTAGGTTTAGGTTTGTTTGGGTTTGAATAAAAAAAACAGCTGTTAAATAAAAAAACAGGTAAAATACATAATCAGTAATTGGTAAGAACATAAAGAGCAAATAAAAAGCCAACATAAAGGCAAATCAAGTAAACAGTGCAATTATTTATTTGTTTATTTTTATTTTTTCCCCCCAAATGTAACTGCAGTATTATTATTATTCACTTCTGTTCAAAAGTTTGGGGTAAGGAAGATTTTTAAAATATATACTTTTATTCAGCAACAATGCATAAAAGCACATACGTTAAAAAACATATTAGAATGATTTCTGAAGGATCATGTGAAACTGATGGCTGGAGTAATGATGCAGAAAATTTAGCTTTCCATCACAGGAATAAATGACTTTTAAAATATATTAAAAAAGAAAATCATTTTAAATTGTAATATTTCACAATAATACTGTTTTACTGTGTTTTTGATTGAATAACAGAACCCATAAGAGACTTCTTTCATAAAATAATTATAAAATGGTAGTGTACAATAAAATTACTGGAATTATATCACAAACTACAAATGAATTCTACCAACAACAAAAAAAAAATCATACATCAAAACATCACAGTCTTCCTGCTCTTCTGTAATTTTTATAATAGGCTGGCTTTGATCATGGTGATAACACTTGAATGCTTGGGAATTGAGTTGACACTATCAACACTGTAGAAAGACTGCTATCATTTATTTATTTTTTTTAACTCAAATATCAGCTTGGCACTTAAGTAACAATATTTTTGACATCCCTGTTTGACAGCAGTGTGCAAACCATGTGAAGTTCGTTGTAATCCAGGCATAACCTGCATTGTTGGCTCTTTTTTAGTCCTTAGACTCCAGCTGTGAAGTCACTTGCCTTCGAGAACAAATTCAAATATCACAGGAGGAGATCAAGGAAAGAAAAGGAGACCGACTCCATTCACAGACACTCCTACATGCAGGTAAGATGTTCATCAGTCTAAAGCCAGTCGTGTAACCATGTTTCCCAATGCTGCTGTAAACAGGATGTGTAATTTTGGATTGGGATGAATGTTTAGAGAGTTATTTTTACACAAGGGCCTTTTCTTGTGTATGTATCGCTCCTTCATGGACCCTCTTTCGTAACCTGCTTTTCTCTTTCTCAAATGCTCCATATCAGATGTGGAGGAGGAGGACGAGGCAATGTTCTCCGCAGACCCCTCCCGCTTCGTCACAGACCCAGAATTCGGCTACCAGGAATTTGCCAGACGGGAGGAGGACCATTTCCAAGTATTCCGGGTGCAGGTGGGGGCAGAGACTTTGCATTGGGTGTCACCTACCAAAAGTAGTAGCATAAAAGGGTACTAAGGGTCAGAATTACAGCTCATGCCCTTCCTTATCAAGACTGTCAGCACTTAGTGTTACTCTCAAAACCTTAAAAGGAAGTGCTGTGCCGCTGACAAATCCTCTCAAATGCCAATTTCATTCAAGTAGGCTTTCTACATTTGATTTGAATGGGAGTCGTATGCAACTCCTATAGTTAAAAGCAGTTTGTTTTATCCCAACTTATATTGAGAAGTTTAGGGTGTGAAATGAATACTTATATTCAGGAAGGATGCATTATATTGATCAAAAGTAAGATTACAGACTTTTATATTGTTATAAATTTAAATATAAATATTTTTTATTTATTTATTATGGGTAATGAAAGGTTCATATTTTGGTTTTGGGAGTCCCCAACAACAGGTTGACATGCATGCAAGGTCAAAAAACACTTTCATGGTCTTATAATATGCATTTATTTTTACCTTACTTGCTCAACGACTCCCAAACGATTCGCTCAACGACTCATTTTCCCAAACCCTTCCTTTGCGTGACGCTAATCTGCGGTGATTGGTCCGATTGGTCTCATTTTCATTTCATCATGCCTGTAATGCCTGATAAAGCAGCGTTTGTGACCAACAAGTGGGCGGGCAATATGCTAATGTTTCATGTTGACGTCAACATGAAACGGCTTGGGATTCGTTATTCGTTTTAAAAACAACTCGTTTCAATGATTCAGAGTCAACTCTTTCTTTTGAGAGACAATAACTTTATACACGGTGCACTTTGCAGAATGTTTTCATTCACTGCTGTTCTTTTGAATTTTCAATTAATTAAAGAATTAAAAACTTGGATCATATCAATCTTTTTTTTTTCTTGAGCAGCAAATCAGCATATTAGAATAATTTCTGATGGATCATGTGACACTGAAGACATCATGCTGAAAATTCAGCATTGACATCGCAGGAATAAATTACATTTTAAAATATATTAAAGTACAAAATAGTTATTTTATATTATGATATAATTTCACAATATTACTGTTTTTACTGTATTTTTATCAAATAAATACAGCCTTGGTGAGCATAAAAGAGTTCTTTCAGAAACATTAACATCTTGCTGGTCCCAAACTTTTGAATGGTAGTTTATAAGCCATTGTAGAAATTGCAGAAATAATGCACTTTAACAGTCTTTAAAATACTGCAGTATATTTATTCGTCTTTCTGTGCAGGACTATTCATGGGAGGATCACGGCTTCTCGTTGGTGAACAGGCTCTACTCTGATATAGGGCACTTGTTAGACGAGCGATTCCGCAATGTGGCCTCCCTCCCTTTCCCTCACAGCCCCGATCTCAAACGAGCCATCTGGAACTACATTCATTGTATCTACGGCATCAGGTACCCTGGTTCCCTGGTTTTTCACACTTTTGCATTTTGGCACAAGTTTGCATTTTGAATGCAAAAAAAAAAACATGAAATTAAATCTAATGCCAAGCTTTTAACTCCACACTCACACATTGTGATTTAACAACTAGTTTCGAAAATGCTGAAAAAGGCAAAAAACAAAGCACTTACACTGACACTTTTGCCCTCAGGTATGATGACTACGATTATGGGGAAGTCAGCCGGTTACTGGAGCGTGGATTGAAACTTTATATTAAAGCTGTGGCCTGCTATCCCGACTCCAGCAAGACCCCTCTATGCCCACTGTCCTTGGCCTCTGTCAAAGCTTCAGAGAAGGTGATTTCCTATCAAAACTTGTGCTGCGTACGCTTCAGTAGCATCTACTTAACCCCACAAAGCCTAATATATCATACTTGATGTGTAAATTCTCTAAATTATCATGATCAACTTTGATGGAAAACATTTTGCACTCAATTTACTTCATGCATTATGTCGTTTGACTGATAGTATGTATTTTTTAGGAAGTAAAAGGCATTTTAGTAAAACTGAGATGTTTTTTCCTCCTAGAGTATGAGCTCCTGATATATCAAATATGATACTCAACAATAAACACATGCTTTTTTTAAAAGCATTTTTTAAACCATTTCATTTGATAATTGTACAACTTTTGTTATTTTGTTCTTGCCATGAAAATGCTCTGTTTTAAAACAAATCTTTCTGTCGTTATGTCTTTTAGGTTCATGTAAATTTGTTAGTGATGGAGGCACGTCTGCAGGCCGAGCTGCTGTATGCGCTCCGAGCCATCACTCAGTACATGATCGCATAGGACACGAGCGTTCAGCGCCACAGAGAGACATGGTATAGCGAAAGTCAAGGCAAAGAAATACAAGCAGAGATCTGTCTCTCCGTCTCTGTATTTGTTGTCTCTGAGTTTTCCGGTGTGATGTAAGGTACTGCTGTGAAACGTTTCTTTGCCAAAGGTGAAACTTTAGAAAGAAAAAAAAAAGGTGCAAAGCAATCGCTCTCACCCCTACTGTCATTTTGCATGTTTCTCCTACTTCCTTTTGTTTCTGTATTTGTCCTTTTGTGCGCATACTCTTATTTTTCTACCTTTTTCTTCCTTTTTTTTTTTTTTTAGTATCGTTATCTCAGATGGTTAATGTGCAATTATTTTTATTCAGTTGTGGTTGTTATTATTAATATTTTCCCATTTGTTTGTTTTTTGCTGTTGCTTTTCAACTGAGTGAGAGAAGAAGTGTACAACTGTCCATTTCCTAGGTATCCAACTCTGGGAAGGTCATAGCCAATTTGAGTCACTGTTTACAGAAAATGAGTGATTGGACAAAGGCTCTTGCTTAACATGGCTTCCTGATATTTCATTTGAATGTGGAATAGTGAGACCAGAGCAAAATTTAACAAAGGCTAAGAGAAGGTTCAACGGCTGTAACTTTCTTTTTAAATGAGCACTTTTAAGACAGTATCTATCTATAGAATATCTCAATAAGCTTTCGGCTGTGGCTTCGTTCTGCACACAGCAGGTCATTGAAGTACTGTTTTCACTCCTTTCGATCGATTATTAGCATTGATGTTTTCCAAAATCTTCCACACGCTCTTCTCTCTGCATGGGTGCTATAAGTGATTAAAATGGGTACATTTATAGGATCCATATTTATCATCCGATTCATCTCAGTAGGCATCTAAACGGCTTTACAATGTGAAGATCTAAATTTGACGGGATCAACGCAGTGAAAAGGAATCGCTTTTTCTAAACTACTTTTCTTTGTGGTAGTGTTCTCAGTGTTTCTCAGTGACTTTGGGCGGACAGTCAGTTTTACCCGCTCTACACAAACTGGCCAAATCGACACAGTATGTATTTGAATTACATCATCTGCTAACTTGGAAAACAGTTTAAATATCATTTAAAAGTAGGTCTTTAATTTTGAAGTAATTGGCCCACTGAAGTGATTCTGAAAGGACCAGCATTTAGCGTTTAGGTTCGTGTTGTGTTGGCGTCTCCAGTGTAGACATTTGGATCAGCAACAATTAGGATTTGTTTTAAAATATTTTACCATGTAAAAATTAAAAAGTCACCTTGTGATGTAAGTGAGAAGGAGCTCAAATGAGAATAAGCTTAAAATGTGATTTTAATGTAGACACGCTGGTATAGATCAAATGAAGGACTTCTGACAGAGCTATATAAGATGCGTAAAGGTTTTAAAGGGCAGCCTGTCGCTATCCTTCCCATAACCGACCTGCACAAAATTGACATTTTTTTGGTTTTGCACTGAACCTTTTGCACAAAACCCTACAAGTGTGGTTGCAGCTGTCATTGTTACAAACTGCTTGGAGAGGTGACGACGGGCCCTCTAATGCCATGAATATATTCAATGTCCAGTTTTGTTGACTTGGCCAAATACCTGTACTGTGTTAAACTCTCATCGGTCTGGTTAATTATAGTTGGCAGAATGACTTGGGCAACACCTATGGTTGGTTTTGTGTGTTTATTTTTAAACATTGCATTACTTTTGTTCCTGTTTAAACTTGTCTTGTCATTTTGAGGGAGGGTTATGTTGTTGTTGTCAGTTTTGCTCTTGTCTGAACTGTTTAGATTAAGAAACCAAGGTATGTAAATCAGCAGAAATGTGTACAGGAGCCGCAGTCTGTGCTGGACGCACAGTGCCTTTTGACTACTGATGAGTCACGGCTCATCAGTATGGCAGAACTGGACTCAGAGCTAAGCCTCATGCTACTGCATTAATTCAAGCTGAGAATGGAAGATGTTCATCGTCCGGAGGACATCTGGAGATGTTTGTCAGGAGCAGAATAGGACTGCAGCACAGCCGTTCTACCTTAAGCAGGACTGTCTTAAATGCTTGTTCTTCAATGACGGTTTGCCACGTCCCTGAAACGTGGAGACTTCCAGACCGTCTCCACCACCTTAGCTGGAAGACGTTAAGGACTGTGCCTCGGCGGAGGAGACTGAACGAGCATGGCTATTGCCAAAATGTTTATTTACCACGTAAATGTAGGAACTATAAAAATTTAAACTGACAAAAAGAAAAAAACTTGGAAAAACAGGCAAAAAAAGTTTTGAAATGTGAAAGCTTATTTTTTCTATAAAGATATGCAATATCATTGGTGTGTCTTGTTTTTATTTAGTCATTAAGTGTGAAAGTAAATGTTTTTATAGTCTAGATTTAGTAAATTAACCTTATGGTTGCACATAGTTCACTCATTTTAAGTGGTTTATATGTTCAGAGTGTCAGAAGGAGCACTTGGCATGTCAATCATTTGGGAATCCATTTTTAATAATGGATTCTGAAACTACTAGTGCAATCCTGCCATGTAGTGGTACATCTCCATTCGCATTTCTTTGAGAAACTCACGCCAGCAATTCAGACGTTTCATTAAAAGCTTTCAGGTTCACTACATTTTGAAGTATGTTCAAAAACAGAAATGTGAAGCTTATAAAAGCAATTCCTTGAACTAAAAGTCTGTGTGTTTTCTTCAAATGTGCCCCCTGGTGGTCTGTTGTCCTGCATAGTTTAGATCAGGGCTGTCCAAACTCGGTCCTGGAGGGCCGGTGTCCT